CTATCTTCTTGAATTCTATTCACAGTTTGGCAATTGAGATTTTTTTTCTACATTCCAAAGTGAAGCAGATATTGAACCTCTTACTTTCATAATTCACATGAAAGCTTTGGAAGCTGGCATTATTCAGCTATGGCTTTTCTGTTTTTTAAACTAGCCTGATTATTATTTCTTTAATATAAGCTAATACTTCTAGTAGCCTGAAATGATTTTTTAGAACAAGGTAGAGAAAAAAATTAAGTGAAATTATAAGGTCATAGTTAAATAAGTCATTTACCTTTTTAAAAGTATGGAGATGGTGGTTTTTAACTGAGGTTAGATTCAAAAGTTAAATCAAGCTTGCTCTAGAGTCAGTAGAAGGAAGTATCCATGTGTCATTGTTTTGATATTATTTTTGTTGCTAAGCATTATTATAAAAGGAAAGTATTTCTGAAATTGTCCATTTTTTGCTTAGGGTATTTACATTTTTCAGATTTCAAGGTTCTGCTTATTAATGCTTGTAAACATGAATTACCCATACAAACTAGTTTGTTCTCCACATCCCTTCCCCTTAGTCCAAAGCAGATTAATCTTTAAATATCACCTTTGTTAAAGCAAGGCAGAATTTCCTAGTCTAATTTAGGGGAAGGCTATTATTACCTGATGTCTAAAACTTCAAAGGCTCTCTGGGAGAAGTAGAGCTCCTCTATTTTTACCCAGACCACCTTCTAAAGGGTTCTTATTCTCCCAACAGATCTCTTGTCTGCCTTGCATGTAGATGCAGATCAGAGAGAGGTGCCTTGAAAGGAAATATACCCCTAAATAAAAATTCTTTGCTATGTGTGCCTCTTATCATACCTTCCTTATAGCATTATGTGGTGCTGAGCAGGGGCTACTGGTAATAGAAACAGACACTTGTGGGAAAATGCCATTGTCTAGAGAAGCAAAGGGCTGAGATAGACAAACGTAGTGGTCCTGCGCTTTACACCTGTAAAATGTGTCCATGCCTTTAATCCCAGTTTCCAGAAGGCAGAAACAGGTATCTCTGTGAGTTTGAGGTCAGCCCTGTCTACATAGCCAGTTCCAGGCCAACCAGGGCTACATAGAGGGACCCTGCCTTAAAACCAGATCCAACAAAGCAAACAAACAAACAAAAAACCTCTTTCTGGTTTTAAAACTCAGATATGGATGGACATCTGCAGGCAAGGTGGCTGCACATGCTTTCCCAACTCAGTAGTCTTCTCACTATGAGCTCATACTTGCTCCTTTTCAAGGATAGGTCTTGTACACAGCCATCTTCAACTTCTTTCACAAACAAAACACTCAGTGCTGACCTCTGTTAGAGCCACTTTCTGTATGCTGTAACTGTCTATTAAATGTTCAGCCTCTGAAACCAGACTGTGAGCAACTTGTGAGTCGAGGGACTATGGTTTGTCTCTGTCTCTAGTTACAAAGTGCCACACAATAGTAGCACTCCTAAGTAACTGCAAAGGGGTCTTTGTTGCTTGTAATAAAGCAAAGAAATAAAAAGTCCCTGTTGACTTAAATAGAAACCGTTAGTCATTTCAGCATGTTGTTTAGGTTTATCTTTTCTAGAAGAATTCTTGGATCTTTCCTTGTCCAGCTTTTAAATTACAGGTTCTGAGCCAGGCGTGGTGGTGCACACCCTTAATCCCAAGCACTCGGGAGGCAGAGGCAGGCAGATCTTTGTGAGCTCAAGGCCAGCCTGGTCTACGTAGTGAGTTCCAGGACAGCTGGGGCTACAGGAAGACCCTGTCTCAAAAAGACCAAAAAAAAAAAAAAAAAAAAAAAAAAAAAAAAATACAGGTTCTGGAAGGAAAAGAGGTAATCATTTGATATTGACTCAGCTTTGTATATGAAGAATGGCAGTGACTGGCTATACAGTAAGTAACTTGTTCACTGGGTATCATTTGGGATGAGGTAAGAAGACACTAACTAGAGTCGATGAATGTTCTTCCTGAAGTTCAGGTTTAGTCACTTTTGGCTTATGTTTTAATTCAGAGTTAAGTTGGTTATGATGGTTGTCTCTATTCACTCATTTCTTCTATATCCCAGGTATCCAACTGTTGCCCTTTCACCACAATTATAATTTTCCCATAGTTATTTTATATCATTAGTGTCTATTAGGACTACTTTAGCAGCTGACAGTATCTAGCACACGATGAGTGCTCAGAACAGCCAGTTATATAGTAACATGTCAGAGGATCACTGACTTTTCTAAGAGGTACCTTCACAACTTTGAATTTGTCACAAACCTTCCTGATTTCATATCCCTTTAAAATGAAATATGGTGGGGGTTGGAGTGATGGCTTAGTGGTTAAGAGCACCGACTGTTCTTGCAAAAGACCCAAGCTCAAATCCCAGCACTCACATGGTGGCTAACAACTGTCTGCAACTCCAGTTCTAGGGGATCCAATGCCCTCTTCTCCATGGGCACTGTACAACACGGATACACTTGCATATATGCAGGCAGTACACTCATACACATAAAATAAATAAGCAAAATTTTAAATTAAATATAGTATCATATTTTACAATTTGAATTCTGTAGTACTTAATTTCCAATTTTGTGCTTAATTTCCAATTAAGTAATGTGCTATGGATTAATATAAAGGACTTTTATAATGTATGATGAGGAAGCTGAGTGATATTGTGTTATTAGCCTACAGATACTGAGGAGTGGTTAGTCTTACTTTTCACCTGAGCAAACATGACTTGTTGACCTGAATCCTGCCAACCCCTTCTTAATGCTATTGATCTATAGACCCACACTAGGAACTAAAGCTTTCATTACAAATATAATGAGTTGTGTCTTGTTCAAAGGGTGCAGATAATTTTAACTTTCTCTACTTAACTCTTTTGTCATATAATAAAAGCCCTTTCAAAAAAAACTTAAAGACAGTTGAAACATCTTTGATTCTAGTATTAGTCTTAAAATCACACTTTTGGCTGCAGCTAATGATATACTTTCTATGGTATGCAGTCAGTCACAAGCTGTAAGCTTTGCTTTTAGTTTTCTTTTAAAAATTTTTCTTGGTTGGGGCTGGAGAGATGGCTCAGTGGTTAAGAACACTGGCTATTCTTACAGAAGACCTGGGTTCGAACCCAGCACCCACATGGCAGCTAACAACTGTCCGTAACTCCAGTTCCAGGGGATCTGACAGCCTCTCCTGTCCTTCACGGGCATTGCACGACATGGGTGCTCTTACCTACATGCAGGCAAATACACACATACACATAAAAATAAATAAATTAAAAAAATTTTTCTTGGTTGATTTCTTTTTATTTGTGTGTATATTTATGTGTATATACACCCATTTTGCCTGTGTATACACCCATGTCTTGCAATGTCCAAGGAGGCCAGAGAAGACATTGAATCCCCTGGAAGTGGAGTTACAGGTGGTTGTTAGCCACATGTGGGTGCTGGGAACTGAACCTGGGTCCTCTGCAAGAACAGCTGTATTCTTAACCACTGAGCCATCTCTCCAGCTTCTCTTTTTAGTTTTCTTTATATTCTTTCTAAACTGGGGATTTACTGTTAGCTGTAGTAAGAAGTCATCTTGAGTTATAAAGACATTACTGAGGGAACATTTACTGTTCATGATTGAATACCAGGATACCTGCTTACTTTTTCAAACAATATATTTTTGTTTTGAGTACTAAAAAAGTTGAAAATGGTGAATTATGTGCAAGTTTTTGAATTTTCCAAAAAATTTTGAGTCTAATAGACTAAGTTATTTAAGTTATTTAGTCTAGCTAAAGACACTCCTTTGAAACTTCTCCAAGTTCATTGCTAATATTGCCATGAAAATATTAGTATTACTGGGGATTTGCTTTATGAATGAAAGAAGCCACTGAAAATGCAGCCTCTGCACTGGCCAGTGCCCAGCACTCTGTTGCTCAGTGTAGAATGTAGTTCTGGAGCTTAGCTGAAAAACTCAGCTTATTATTTTCATTTTTTTCTGAAGAGTGGAAAACTTGCTTTTCAAAAGAGAATAAAATAAATGAATGAAAAGGATTAGGTTTATTTTGGAAGAACAAAAGTTTAAAAATGTACAATTTTCTGTAACAAATAATTTGACTATGTTATTCAAAAATGGAACTTATAACTTTTACCTCATTGTGTTTCCAAACCACATTAAAAAGGGTCCAATTAGATATGTCATTTCTTCTTTATGACATCAGGGTGCTATTTAGCTGAACAAGATAACCAAAGTTTGGCACATATTTCTAGTAATAATGTGAATGGCTGATTTCAGATAGGTTTAGTGTACAAAGTCTTTGTGGTCATACAGTTATCAATTCCCACAAAATCTCCATAGCATAGGTCTATAGGGACCCTGCTGCTGAAGTCAGCAACCAACACAACAGGACTGTCAGTTACAGTTCCTTAGTACAGAAATTCCTGTCATTTTTCATTGTTATTGCCTCATCTTTCTGTAAACAGAAAACTTTACTATATACAATTTACCATTAGTATAGCTATCTATGGGTGAAAAAATGATTTGAGCATTAGAAATACTGCAGAATATTAAACGTTCATATTTTGTTTCCTAAGTGGCTTTTCATTTGGTTTACATATTACTTTAGTTACCATCTGATATCCCTCCTTTCTCCCTTCTCTCCTCCCCTCTCTGCTGCTCTTCTTCTCCCCTCTTCCCCTCCCGTCTTTCTCCTTCCCCCTTCCCCTCCACTCCTGTTTGAGAGGGAAACTTACTAGGTAGTCTAGGTTGGCCTCAAACTCCTCCTGTCTCAGCCTCCTGAGTGCTGAAATCATAGTTATACTTCACTATGCTGGAAAATTGCTGTCTAATGTCTGCTGTCTGATTTCTGCTGTCTGATTTCTGCTAAGAAAAGGTCTATAAACAGTATTCCAACTTTAAGATACTCAGAATTACTAATAGTTAAATCACACACATAAATCACAATTTATTATATTTCCTTTCACTATTAACTTTCAGAGGGAAAAAAAAAAAAAAACCTTTTAAAACAGGGTCTTTTGCAAGCGACACTCTGTGGCAGATTAACAAAACTACCTGACACAATTTGAGCTTGCTATAGCAAGAAAATCTAATCCATTCTGGTATTCTCCTCCCCATGAGAGGGCCCATTATATAGCCGCAAATAATATAAAAAATAATAATTAAAAAAAAAAAAACAGGATCTTAAACTTGCTATGTAGACCAAACTGGCCTAGAACTCACAGAGATCTGCCTGCCTCTGCCTTCTGAGTACTGGGATTAAAGGCATGTGCCACTACACCTATCCTTAAAAGTTTTGTGAATAGGGGACTGGAGAGATGGCTCAGCGGTTAAGAACACTGGTTGTTCTTGCAGAAGATCTGGGTTTGAATCCCAACACCTACATGGCAGCTAACAACTGTTCATAACTCTGGTTCCAGGGGATCCAATGGCCTCTTCTGTCCTTCACGGGCATTGCATAACATGGGTGCACTTATCTACATGCAGGCAATACACTCATACACATAAAATAAAAATAGGAAAATTTTAAAGAAGTTTTGTGAATATATTTTTAAGTTATCTTATATTAATAGGATCCACTTAAATAAACCTAAATGTTTCCAAGGAAATCTGAAAACAGATTCTAGATAATGTAGAAGTGACTGTTATTTGATGAGGAAATTAAATGTCTAGAATAGATGCTGATTTTTGCCCATACTAATTTATAAGTTCAATATAATCACAATAAATATGTCAGCAAAAAAGATGAAAGCTTGAAATGAATTGAAGAAGGAATGTTACTCTAGCAGATATTGAAACTAACCATTAATTTATAGATTTTAGAGTAATATTAGCCTGGGTATGATGCATGACCATAAGCCTAGCACTTGGGACGTTGAGGGAGGGGAATTGTTAGATCCAGGCCAGCCTGGCTACAGAGTGTGACTCTGGCTTAAAGGAAAACAAACAACAATTCAAACATACATTTATACATATATATATATATATATATATAAATGTGTGCCAGAGCATGTACACAGATGGATAGGTAGATGATTGATGATAGAGAGATATAGGTGTAGATGGATAGAAATGACGTCCCTGTTCCAGGAGGATCAGCTGTTCCTCATCTACGGCAATCCATTGTCAGTATTCCTTTGGATAGAAATGGGGTCTGCTGTTCATTTTTCCAATAGTGTGTTGGGTTACTATCTGGAAGAGCCTTTATCCATCCTGGCCAACAGCTCGACTGAAGGTATCGCTTGTCTGGCTTTGCTGTTTGTCAAGTAACTTTTAGATATATATATATATATGTGTGTGTGCCAGAGCATGTACACAGATGGATAGGTAGATGATTGATGATAGAGAGATATAGGTGTAGATGGATAGAAATGACTGGCTTATGAATCAATGGTGTAGCACATGGAAAAGGGCAGACTTAGGACATCAAAGCTAATGTCAAACAAAATTCCTCATAGGTCAACCATTTAAATATACTTTTTAAAAACTGGCGAAAGGTAACTAGAAGTTAATATAGATGGCTGTTTCTTGAATTTAGAACTAAAGAAGGCCAGTCTCTCTAAGTACAAAAGAATGAAAAAAAAATGCAATGGAAAAGAAGGATTCTAGGTGAAATCTAGAATTCTCTTATCAAAGTATGCTGTAAGTAAATTTAGATCTAAAACAAAAATGTTTGGAAAAATTATTCACAAAAATGTTAGAGTCATTCCAACTTATGATAGCTTTTTTCAGACTGATGGAGCTGTTAATTTTGGTATACCTGTGATTGACTAATTCACAATCACTAATTGAAAATTTTTTTATTTGTAAAATATTTATACAACCTAATAATAATTTTACACTTTTTGTATACTCAAGCATTGTTCTGAGGGATTGACCTATGCTTAAGGAACAGATACAGTGATTTAGAAAGAGATAGGACTACTGTTATCACCCTTTAAGACATGACAAAACCAGACTGGGTTTGGTGGTGCACACCTTTAATCCCAGCACTTGGGAGGGAGAGATGAGTGGATCTCTATGAATTTGAGGCCAGTTTAGTCTACATAGTGAGTTCAGGCTGGCTGGGACTATCAGGAGACCCCATTTCAAAATGACAACAGCAATGACAACAACAAAAAGTTTTGCCCTAAACTTTCCTATAAGGACAGGTGGTGGTAGAACTAGAAATGGGAGAGTCAGGATCTGATGCCTGACAGGTTGATTATCACATGCTTCCATAACTGAATAAAAAATAAGGCTCTAAAATTGTAGGCAGTCTGACCTTATTTTGTAAAAAATATTAATATTTGTATATACATTATAAAATTTAATCCCTATATAAGTTCTTATTTGATTACCTGTATAGTAAAGACAAATAATATTTTGAGGTTTTCTAACAGTGGTTTCTTTCTTCTAGTAGGATTTTAGATAAAAGTTGCTTTAAACTTAAAATTTCTATATTTTGAAAAATTTCTAACATAGTCATAGAATCATTTTGTGATTACAAAATAGTGTTTCCATATAATATATTTCAAATTTTATTTTCTCTCAATATGTATGAATATTATTTTAGTTTGCTTTGGAAGTATCAATGTTTTGTTTGAGTACACACCTTTAGACAGGTACAAGCTAAGTGGGATCTAGGGTGAGCATTACTATTTTAGTCCATCAAAATTAATGCTGTGGAATGCTAGAGCTAAGAGGAACCTTTGAAGATAATCATCTTGTTTCTTAGATGAGGGTCCTGAAGCTAGTATAGATGCAAATGACTTAACTAGGATTGACTGTGGTAAGTTGTCAAACATGCCTCAGACACATGGTTTCAGAGACAGAGCTCTGCAGTGCACACCCCCCTCCAGCCCCCAACTCTGGCTCTTGGTCAGACAGGAACTAGAGCACAGTGAATTTTGTGACAAAGAATTGCATTTAGGAGTTAGCCGAATTAGATTGCTTACTTCTCTGCTATTAAGTAACTGAAAATAGAGTGGATAAGGCCCTTGGAGATATTTTTGTGGCCCTCTGGAGTTCATGGGAAGGTCCTCACTGGATTTGGAGAATCCCTAGCTGTAGATGACATTGCACAGCTCGAAGGAAATCAGAAATGAAAAGAACATTAGCTAGAAATGATCACTTCAGTGGATTCTTTTCTAAAATAGGAAACCACTCTCTTTTCAGCTCCAGCACCCACAACAGCAGTGCCCTACATGTCAATAAAATGTGTGGACGTCCGTAAGAACCACCACAAGACAAGATGGCTGGTGCCTTGGGGACCCAATAAATGTGACAAGATCCGAGACATTGAAGAAGCAATTCCAAGGGAAATTGAAGCCAATGATATTGTGTTTTCTGTACACATTCCCCTCCCTGCCATGGAGATGAGCCCGTGGTTCCAGTTCATGCTGTTCATCCTGCAGCTGGACATTGCCTTCAAGCTGAACAACCAAATCAGTAAGTGCCCACTTCTGGCCTTGCTTACCTTGGGAAGTTTTCCTCCTAGAAGCAGAATTGATTATGATAACTAGATATTGGCTGTTTCCTGCTTATCAGGCACTTTCCAAGCACTTCAGCTGTATCAATCCATTTAACCTTCCCAGTTACCTGAGGCAAATATTAGTGTTACTTCATTTTACATATAGGTCACTTGGGTCCCCATGAGGTTTTCTATAATCAGACCAGAGACTGAAAAGACTGGAGTCCTAACCTAGGAAGCTGCCATCAGACTTCTTCCTCTCCCAGTACCAGGAGAGAGCTCCTTTAGAAGGTCCCTTTGTGTTTAAATGCTTTTTCTCACTATGTATTAAATAAGACTAAGGCCTTAGAAAAAAAGCCTTACTAGAATGAGGCTTCTTGCCCGTGAGTACCCATGGTCCCACTAAGCCGGTTTTGTTTGTTTGCTTGCTTATTTTAAGGCTTACTTGGTTGCATCTGGGGATGGTACAGAAAATCTTAGTTGTGAAGACTCTTTTCCCCAGGAACAGCACCAAGAATGTGTGGGAAAAGAGGAAAGTATGTTGAAGGTAGTTCTGCCTGGGGCCTGTTCATAGACTAAAGTATGTTTGTTTATTTAAAATGATCCTATATCAGCAATGAATCTGATATATAATTATATTAATTTTACTCTGTTCAGGAACTGGAGCAATCTGAATCTTGACATTTTATTTGAAATGAGCAAATAGATTATTCTGAGATAACTTTTTAAAAGGCAGCATTTTCTTTTCCTCATGCACTCAATATCTTATCCACAATTTCAAATCTGAGTAAGGGCTAGATGCTGCCCTTTAGCTGGATGTGTAAATACACAGAGAAAAACTTTCTTTAAGGGACTACGATCAAGTGGAAATGACAGACAAGTAATCAATCATAACAGTAGTATGATTTGCTGGGTGCTGTGACTGAGGTCTGCTTAGAGTCTGTGGGAACATCAGGAAAAGGGTTTATTTAGAATGAGGAAAGGAGAGGCTATGCTGGCAGGCAAGTGATATGGGTGGGACTTGTATAGAAGTGAGTGACAGATACTCAAGGTGAGTATTAAAGAGAAAACGCCTGGTAAAAAGTTGGAGGTAAGTGTAAGCAGAGCATTCTAGATAGAGATGAGGCAGCCTGTAGCATCCAGAGTAGTTTCCTCTGTCTCTAGCCCTTTGTCAGTTGACCTCCTCACTCATTTGTTAGTTGTACAGCATATTCATCAACTCATTCAAATCTAATTAAGTTGTATCCATACATTAAGCATTGAGTATCAAGAATATAAGTTTGCACAAGAGATTCCTGTAAAGGGCTAGAGGACAGGGTGCCTCTAAAGCAGACACCTAAAACTACAAATGGGAAAGAATCTATGTACCTTTAATAAGAATATACAGTGAGAGGGAAAGAGTTTGGTATGAGATGGGTCGAAACTATTTTGGCAACTTTAAAGTTTGGATTTTAGTATTTCTAGAAGTTCTAAGAATAAATTCAGAAAAAAAAAAAAGAAGACAAAGAGGAGCCATAGAAGGATGAGGTGGGTATATTCTTTGGTTTATGTATGTTTGGGTGGAAAGGTCAAGGACACAATGTTCTGTTATCTGTACTAGCTGCTTTTGGTTTATTTCAGGAGTTATCTCTTCTAGGCAGATTCCTACCTCCTAGTTCCAAGCATAAAGGAAAAGATTTACCCTATAATAACTTAAATAATTGCTTTATCCACTGGAAGCATCTAGATTGGGTAGTAAATCAACCCAAAATTTTAAACTACCATTTCTTTTTTGTTGTTGTTGTTATTTGATTTCTTTTTTTTAATCTTTTTTGGTCTTTTTTGAGACAAGGTCTCCCTGCAGCCCCAGCTGCCCTGGAACTCACTATGTAGACCAGGCTGGCCTTGAACTCACAGAGATCTGCCTGCCTCTGCCTCCCAAGTGCTAGGACTATAGGCATGTGCCAACTCACCCAGCCAGTTTTTAATAACTACATGAATAGAAGAAGCATTCCATTACAGCTTTAACATATTGAGTAACACACTCCAGAGCAAGAGTACATCTCTTTCACAAGTGGCTGTAAGGTTCTAGGCTCACATTTTTTATTTTTATTTTATGAATATGAGTGCTATGCCTTCATACGTATTAAATGTTATGCAGTACCTGTTAGGGACATTAGAGGTTATTGAATCCCCTGGAACTGAAGTTATGGAGCCTTGTTAGCCACCATGCGGGTTCTGGGTCTTCTGCAAGAAAAGCCATTGCTCTTAACTGCAGGCATCTCTAATCTGTATGTATCTATTACTAGTCATAATCAGTTGCACTTGGATCCTTGGCGCCTATGTATGTCTATAAAGTCATCTGGTAGATTTCAGTGGTAATATTTATCACCTCTACTAATTAACATGACATAAATTTCTATGCTTCCTCTTCAAATATAATACAATTTTTAAAATTTGTTGATTTTGTGTGTGTGTGTGTGTGTGTGTATCACACAGAACGTCCCAAACCATCTTATTCAACTATACACACACTTATCAGATGGCACCCTCCCATAGCCTCCCTCCCCCCACTAAAGCCCTTATACTCTGATATCCCTGCTACTGTCCACTGTGTTGTCAGCACCCCCAGCCATTCCCCACTACTTGTTGATCTGGTGAATCTAGTCAGCCTATCTAGAGGTCTTTATTTTAGGAAGGTCAGCTGTTCCTCATCTAGCAGCAATCAGTTGTAAATATTCCTTTAGATAAGATTGGGGTCTGCTGTTCATTTTCCCAATTTTATCCTGAGTTACTATCTGGGAGTCCCTTTGGCCACCCTGGCCAACAACTCAAAAGAAGGTATCTCCTATCTGGCATTGTTGCTTGTTATGTAGCCTTTAGCTATGCATATGGACTCTTAAAAAAATCATATTGGCCCCTTTAATATGATATTTTAAGAGTCTATATGCATAGCTTTTAATCCCAGCACTCAAGAGGCAGAGGCAGGCTAATCTTTGTGAGTTCAAGGTGAGCCTGGTCTACATAGTGAGTTCCAGGACAGCTGGAGCTACAGGGAGACCCTGCCTCAAAAAGACCAAAAAAAAAAAATATATATATATATATATATTGGCCCCTTGAATCTTTGGTTATACTTTCCTTTTGGGTGTTTAAGGCCATACAGTTGGCCCAGATAAATCAATTTATTTTTACTCTTAAGGTCGTTTGAGGATCTGTTCCTCAGGGGTCACATGGCCTTGGGAGGAGCCCCTGGCTCCTTTTACCAGTTCCACCTATGTGAAGGTAAGTCAAAGGTCCTTCTCTACCATGGTTGACTTCGCTTGGAAGCATGGAGGAAATGATTCCTCTGTGTTGACCCTCCTCTTTGTAGCTGGAA